AAAATGTGATCACGTGCACTTCCCTCAGCGCATTTAGTGCTTGATGTCTTCATTGTAATAAGTTTCAGGCTATTTATCAAAGCTCTTGAGTAAATAATTTGGCTAGCAGATGTGATTCATTAAAACGGATCGGAAAATTGTTTACAGTATTATGACAATGGAAAAGTAAATGGTATGGGGTGTCAAACAGCCAGCCAAAACTGGCCGAGTTAACGGTTACAATATCGAAGTGATAGTCAGGTACTTGTATTTGCACATGATGATTGATCTTTTGTAGTTTATAAAAGAGAGCGGAACCATATATATTTTGATTTCTTAAAAAAGAGTTGTTTCTAATCTCATCAAAGTAGATTATATTGGTACTTATTGTATTCTTTTCCTGCAACCACAATATTTCTGATTACGTTGAAATCCCATGATTTGTAATTGATCAAGTCGTTTACCAGATAATAATTGTATTTCTGGAGGAGAAATTTTCTGAATCTTCTATATTTAACACTTTTGGCTTGTTCAACTGATGAAAATAATCTTGATAAATAGATGATGTTCAATAATAATACTATGTAATTGACTAGTAACTGCTCACAAGATCTTAGCATTGTTTGCTTTAGTCGCATATCTGTTAGGATTCACTACGTTCAACTCATAAACACTTTTTCTGGACGTTTTCCCCGTTACAAATGTGAATGATAATATTGACAAGTAACTAGGATACTTTTATTGACAAACTAAATAATTAGATGCAAAATACATTGCTGTATACTTACATTCGTCTTTCCAACCTATAAATTTTTAACATTACATTCTCTTTAGTCTATCAACAACGGTACTTACTTACTTACTTACTTACTTACTTACTTACGCCTGTTACCCCTGGTGGAGGAGCATAGGCCGCCCACCAGCATTCTTCATCCAACTCTGTCCTGGGCAATCCTTTCCAGTTGTTATTCATCCTTTTCATATCTGCTTCTATTTCCCGGTGTAATATGTTCTTTAGCCTTCCTCTTTTCCTCCTGTAGCTCTTCTAGAGTTACTGTCAGTCCCATGCCCGGGTAAAGGAGGTGTGTTGGCCATGGGGTTAGCGACCCCATCCCGTAGAATAACTGACTCGCTTAAAAAACGCTAACTAGAAAAAAATAATTCAAATCAACAACGGTAACTGGATGAAATGTTTTCTTTTACTCTATTTGTTATTTATATACTTTCATGTGCGTTTATCTAACACTCCCTCACCCCCATCCCTAGAGTGTATGGTATTCACCCCATCGCACAAGAAAGTGGCTATCAGGACTCAGTAGCCGAGTGGATAACGCGATGGCGTTTGAAGCGAGGGTACTGGGTTCGAGTCCCAGAGTGAACATCAACTCTGAGATGCAGGTACATCCAGCTGACGAGTCTCAAATAGGACGAAACGCGCGTCCTGGATTCCACTGCTAGCCACTATCCATCTCTGCTTACCATGTATGGTATTTTGTTTTTCAAAACATGTATAAAGCGCTTATAATAGGCTCACTTATCAATGGATATTAGATGTTTACGTTCGTTGTTCAGTTGTTATCTCATATATATATGTATATACATTCCTGTACTCTCTAGTAAGCTCAGTTGAATTTGTTTACCGATTATTTTGTTTATTTTCGAAAGAATGTCAATTATTTGTTCCGTTATCATAGTTTTATTTTTTTTAACCATGACCTATTTATCCAATTTCCCTTACGTATAAGTTGATCAAAGTTTATTTTTCGTTTTTTTTTAAAAAATGAGGTCGAAATGGATCCTGTTTAAATTTTTTCATTCTAATTGGAAGAGTTAAAGTATGTGAGAGACATCATTAACACTGTCGATAATTTAGTTTAAATTGCATTACTTACTTACGTCTGTTACCCCTCGACAAGGAGCATAGGCCGCCCACCAGCATTCTCCATCCAACTTTGTCCCAACCAATCCTCTCCAGTTCTTTCCAGTTAACATTCATCCTTTTCATATCTGCTTCTATTTCCCAGAGTAATATATTTTTTGGCCTTCCTCTTTTCCTCTTCCCTTCCGGATTCCAAGTAAGGGATTGCCTTGTAATGCACATTGGTGATTTCCTTAATGTATGTCTTATCCACTTCCAATATCTTTTCCTAATTTCCTCTTCGTCTGGAAGCTGGTTTGTCCTCTCCCACAGAAGGCTGTTGCTGTTAGTATCCAGCCAATGGATGTTGAGTATTTTGCGTAGACAACTGTTTATAAATACTTGTACCTTCTTGACGATGGATGTAGTAGTTCTCCACGTTTGAATTACTGTTATAATAATGATTCAATTAATTTAATGAAATTTATGAGTAACTCAATTGATCTAACTACTAATACTCTAACAATATTTAACTGAATAGATAGATTCTCGAAATATACAAGTCTGTTAATTTACTAGTTTATTGACTAAATATGTATATATATATATATGTTGGTGAACTAAAGCTACTTATATTTGTGGAAAGTATTCAATCAAGATAGTATGAGTTACTTGTTGGTTAATAAACAATTAGTCAAAAATATATACTACTTTAAGGTCACAATATAATCAATAATGTTTCGATTGCGACTAGTTTACCAGTTAATTAAGGTCATAAGACTAACGTTCATCGGAATGGGATTCTGTATTGTAAATACAAACGTACATTAAGAGGATAATTTATAACCCTTTAGAGTATTAGTTTCATGGCATAGTTTACAACTTTTTGTTGATAAGTTTGATATTGATTATTTTGAAGATATCACCCATCTTAAGTTAAGAAAAATGATCATAGTCAACAAATACCATCCATTGGCATGTTCTAATGAGATGACTCCAAATTCCTTTTTAATCTAGAGGTTACATACTTACTTACGCCTGTTACCCCCGGTGGAGGAGCATAGGCCTCACACTAGCATTCTCCATCCAATTCTGTCCCAACCAATCCTCTCCAGTTCTTTCCAGTTAATATTCATCCTTTTCATATCTGCTTCAATTTCCCGACGTAATGTGTTCTTTGGCCTTCCTCTTTTCCGCTTCCCTTCCGGATTCCAAGTTAGCGCTTGCCTCGTGATGCAGTATGGTGATATACTTAATGTATGTTCGATCCACTTCCAACATCTTTTCCTAATTTCCTCTTCAGCTGGAAGTTGATTTGTCCTCTCCCATAAAACGCTGTTGCTGTTAGTATCCAGCCAATGGATGTTGAGTATTTTGCGAAGATTGTAGCTCTTCTAGAGTTACTGCCGGTCCCAAGCCCGGGTAAAGGAGCAGGGTTGGGTATGGGGTTAGCGACCACATCCTGTAGAATAACTAGCTCGCTAAAAAACGCTAACCAGAAAAAATAATTCAAACCATTTAATCTAGAGGTTAGTAAGAAAAAAATTGTAGTGCACCATAAACAGTATTTCAGGATTTTAAGCATTGACATTCCATGAGTAGTATAAGTATATCTTACAGCTTACACTTATATAATAGTTCTTTTCTTTGAGGCTGACCAATCTAGCTTCAGTTATTACATGAATTTTTCCAATTTTCCATCCTCTGAAGAAAAGAAGGTGAGGTATTGTATGATCCTGGATAGATGATTCAAGTACACTTGTTGTTGTATTACATATGATCTCACTATCACAAACAATAAGTAGAAACGTGATTTTATGGGTCAATCTTTATTCAAACTAGCGTAAATCAGGAAATATATGATAGGTAAGTAGGAATTCCAATTTAGTGAATCGTCAACATTCAGATTTGATTGCAGCAAATTTTACGTACAAGACCTAAACGAGCTATAGAAAATTAATTGAAGAAAAAGGGGAACTGAACCATCAAACTATTGACAGGTTTTATGCAAAGAAGTAGCAGCTATTGAGCTGTCTCTTTTTGTTTTGTTTTTTTCACTTTGAATGTTTAATTTTATACCAAATTTTACGTCACAAATTATTCTTAACTAGGTAGCTATCGAAAACTAGGTAGTTATGGACATCTATCTCGTCCTACTATGGGACTCCTCAGAAGTTCGCATCCAAAATCCCCCCGGAACTAGAACCCAGGACTATCAGTAACATTGTAGGGACTTAACTTTTGAACTACTGTCAGTATCGCATGGTATACATTCGTTTTATATATTTCGGGATATCTATAAATGTAGGTAAAGGTCGTCGAAACAAAATTTGAATTAATCTTTCACTGATCAGACACTGGAAAATTTCTATTCAAATCTAAAAACCAATACAATGATCATTTTTCCCAACTTAATCGTTCAATCACTTAAGATAGGACTAATAACAGCATCTCAACTATCAAAATTACTATAATATCCACAAAAACCCCTTCTGATAGTAATCAACATATGCTCACTAGTGACTGGCTTCAAGAGGTATTTCCTGGAGTTCTAGTGAGAAGCAGTGACCAGTGGAGTTCGACCAGGTCTGTTGTGAGATGGTAACTCATTGAAAACAATGGTGGATGTGTCGCTCAATTTTTTGGATTAGTTGAAGTTAGACATTAACATCGTTGAATTCCCGCCAGCTCAGTGTTCTAGTGGTTAAGCACTCGCGCGCGAAACTGATAGGTTCTGGGTTCGAATCTCGAGAGGCGGGATCGTGTATGTACACTGCTGAGGAGTCCCACAATAGGACGAAACGGCCATCCAATGCTTGCATGTTTTCCATGGTGGTCTAGCTTCAATTGACTCATGATCTCAACTATCAAAAATTACTATGATAGCCTCCATAAAAATTCAGTTTCCCTTTCCATCACATCAATAATCTTTGACATTTTTTTTTAGATCAGTTGGCTTTAAATTTAAATCTGTCTACCTTTTGACTTTATTCATAGGTCGTATTTTTACGGTCAGGCCTAGATAGTGATGTTTTCAATATGAGAACATTTGTAATGTCCTTTCTACCAGATTTAACAATACACTTGACTTTTCAGAATTTCCTTTTTTTATTTGTGTAATATTTTCAAATTGTATGGTTTCTGTTCAATTAACTTAATTTAGAGACAATGAAAAGGCTAATTTATATTGGAGACGATATTTATCTATGGACAATAGTGAAATTGTAGGTAAGTTGTAAATTAGTACTTTCTTAATTTAGTACGTTTAAAAATGAGTAACAATAGTTTGTGAGGCTTAGCGATACCCAGGAAAAGTTTTTAATATTAGTGTTATTGAACTGGATGAAAGATTCCGCAGGCGTCCAACTTCGAGATCAACAGGCTGCATTTCGTAAGGATCGGTCGTGCACAGATCAAATCGTGACAATACGGATCATCGTTAAACATTCAACTGAATGGAATTCGTCACTATATATAAACTTCCCTGACCACAGGAAAGTGTTTGGGAGCGCGGATAGGAGAACTTTATGAAACCTTCTTCGACACTATGGAGTGAGTAGCTGAGAACCTTGTCAACATCACCCGGAATTCATACGACGAACTACATTACAAAGCTGTGCATTGAAGACAGATGCATTCCAAGTGAGGACCGAAGTCAGACAAGACTGCTTACTCCTACCCTTTCTTTTTCTTCTAGTGGTTGAATGGATTATGAAGGCCTATATATCTGAGAGGAAGTACGAAATACAATGGACAGGTTAGATGCAACTAGATGATTTGGACTTTGCAGATGACCTGGCTCTTCTATCCCGTAGACATCAACAAATGCAGGTCAGGGCAACCAGTGAAGCAACAGCCTTTGTATTAGCAAGCCTCAACATACACAAGGGAAAATTCAAAATCCTCAAATTCAACACAGAGAACACCAACCCAATCACACTTGATGGAGAAGCTCTCGAACAGATGAAAACTTTCAGGTACCTAGGAAGCGTCATCGATGAAATGGGAGGATCTGATGCAGATGTAAAAGCAAGGTTAGTCAAACCAAGGACAGCATTCCTACTATTGAAGAGCACATAGAACTTAAAACAACGTTCGACCAATATCAATGTCATAATTCTCAATACGAACATCAAGACAGTTCTACTGTGTAGAGCTGAAACTTGGTGTCTACGCAAGATACTCAATATCCGTTGACCTGATACCATCAACAATAGCCTAATATGGGAGAGAACGAACCAGGTTCCAACTGAAGAGTAAATTAGGAAAGTACGCTGGAAGTGGATAGGACATACATTACGGAGGTCATCAAACTGCATCACGAAGCAAGCACTAGCGTGGAATCGTGAATGGAAACGGAAAAGAAGAAGAGCAAAGAACACACTGCACCGAGATTTGCTAGTGGACATAAAAAGAATGAATAGCAACTGTAAACAGCTGGAAAGGGAATTTCAAAAAGAGTTGCTTGGTGAATCCTGGTGGTCGGCGAACGTTCTTCCATGAGGGGTAATAGGGGTATGTGAGTTGGTGAGGCTACGCGGTTGTTCAAACCGCAGTAGTTAGAATATATGACTAGTAGTAATGACAATAATAATAGTATCAATAATATAATTCTGGGTCGCTTTAAATACTAGACTACCGCGCTGCATATAAATTTGATACATCTCACTGAACAATTTGAAACAAGCGTTTAAATATTACCATCTGAAAATGTCACGTTATTGTTTCTGACACCACTCGGTATATTGTCGAAAGTAGTGCGAATTATTGAATTATTGCTCTGAATGATAGGATATTATGTCATACTACTGATTCTACTAAATGTAAATATCTTTGATATAACTCTTTTTACAGATTCGTTACATATTAGAAAGTCACGCTAAGAGTAGTGACAAGTTCTAGAGTGTTATTGAAATTTTAAAAAATACTGAGTTACTCGTTGTTATTTGATTGTGATCCATATGTTAACTGAATGATGTTAAATAGTTAAAACATTACGATACGATTAACCGATTTGAAGTAAGCTTGTAAGATCACTGGATGTTCCATCTGACCATGCATTGGGGCACATGTTGTCGATGCACACTGCCTAAAAGTTTGAAAACTAGGACAGATAAACCGTACAGTAAGTGCTTCATAACTTTCAATGATTTTCAAGTTAGTGTCATTTCTTAATAAAAATATGACCTACAAAATTGGTCGGTCAGTCAGTCAGTCAGCTACAACGTAGAACCAGGCACATTTATGCATCGTTCCAAGTTGCCATACCTCGTTAGCACAACAAGATGAACACCGGGTTCATAGAAGTAATTAATTTAGTGGTGGTAATATATAAAAGAAAGGTTGTATATAAAGATATAGTATAGGAAGGAAGATAGATATGAAGCAATTTTAATCTCAAGGTTTAAGGGAAGATAAAGAGTGTATACACCTACGCCATTGTGATTGATTCTAAGCCATGTCACACGGAGTCCCCAACCATTCATTACGATAGTCACGTGGACCCCAACCAGGTAGTCTTCATCTACCAACATTGCTTAGACTAGAAGTTGATATTTTATCGGTATTTTATTATGTCTCAGTGTGTCTCTGAAGAATGCTGAAGTTGTTGCTGAATATTACATTAACGTTTCTTGTTAATTTGGCACGTTTTAAACAAAACGTTTTGAAATGGATTTCATTATTAATATTCTCAATTTAAACTCAGTTAATAATGGATGAGGAGAGTTGTCTTTCTTTTATAACAATAATGATAATTTAGTTCTTTAGCAGGTTTATGTACTCGTCTTTAAGTCACATTGTTTTATGTGTAAGGCCTACCTTAACTCGAATATATGAAGTGAATTCTTTGCAAATTTTCGGCTTACCGTATAATGTCCGTTTGTATCTAGCCACTGTATTAGTTACTTTTTCAAATTTCACGTTAGGAACATCAAAAAAGTCTTTTTTGAAGTTCATCTTCGATTCAATAGGCGCTTCTTGGAAATATTTTTCATAGAAAGAGAAAATCAACGAAATTCGTCGATTTTCATAACATTTTCTCTTGACTATTTTTTTCTTGTTGATATAAATAAATAGATCTATTTGTCGGACAATTAATGAGTACACTTGAATGTGGTGAATGTTCATTCAAATCAACTACATTTGATCCGTTTTGGGATTTAAGTTTGCCGATACCAAAAGTGAGTTGTACATTCTTTTGTATTAAAATTTAAAAGAAAATTAAACATATTTTTGGAATTTTATTCCTATTTCTAAAATACAAAAAAAACGCGTTTGTAGTTTTGAAACAGTGCAATTTCATGACACCCATAGAGAATCGAACCCTATAACGTTTAGGTCTCACGTGGCATCCATTCACAGAATAAGGCAAAATCTACTAAAGGATGCAAACATTTTACTTTGTTTAATGTCATAATTTTTTAATGTCCAGTAGACGCAACCTTATGAGATAAGAGGGAAAGGTTATAGCTTAGGTACTTACTGGTTAGCCCTTTTTTAGCAACGTTGTTTTCTGCGGGATGTGGTGAGCAACCCCATCTCAACCCTCTTCTTTTACTCGAACATGGGACCGGCAATAACCCCAGAAGAGCTATAGGAGGGGTTTGTAGCTAAGGTAGATGTATTGAATAGTCTTCACTTCTCTAAACTGCTTTTGTAACTTACTCTTGTTGTTAGAGTCAGCATCAACACTGTGGTCACCCATTACAAATAGAATTAAATATTTTTCAAAGTGCTAATAGCAATTTGGGATTGTTGAACGAAGTTATGCTAGTAGGTGCAAGCAACCTTGTTGCGGTCAGGACATAACCAATGATAGGCGTCAGGTGATATGGCACAAAATCGGTTGCATTAGTGCTGGTTCATTCATTATATCATATTGTTTATGCACAGTGATTTCCCTGATATCACTGATATTAATTTGGCATTTATCTTGAGAACTTCATTTGACTGTGTTGATATGCTATGGCAACTTGAATTGATGGACATATTTATGTGAGGTTGTATTTTGTTTTTAACTGGTTAGAAATGCTCGAATAATGTGTCTTGTAGAACTTGTAACACGTTATTTGATCTTGTATTTTACCTATATAATCATGTCAGTTAGAAGTCTAAATGGGACAAAGATGTTTGTTGTTATTCATATGGAATTTTAGTACTTTGGTGAAAGGTTTGGAAATGTGGAGATTTGTGTCATATTATGCAAATTTTTCCAACTGTCTTAGATTCAAGTGATAGAAGGTAGCTTCATTATTAACAACATATAAATGTTTACGTCAATAACATTTAGATTCTTATACTTTAGATTTTGACTAATACTGTGCAGGCATGTTCGGGATGCGATTCTCTCCCTCGAAATGAAAATTGTTACTTCAGGATTGGGTTGCATCGGCACCTGAACTAATGATAGGGAGTGAAGTAGTTGAGCGTGTTGACAGCTTCACTTATCTTGGGAGTCTCATCAGCCCTTGTGGTCTGGTGTATGACAAAATCTCAGCACGGATACAGAAGGCTCGTCTTGCTTTCGCCAATTTGCGTCATTTATGGCGTAGGCGAGATATCCGTCTAGCAACCAAAGGATGGGTTTACTGTGCAGCAGTTCGTTCCGTCCTACTTTATGGCAGTGAAACATGGATAGGATATTCGTAGGCTACTAGTATTCGATCATAGGTGTCTTAGACGCATTGCTCGTATGTCCTGGGACCACCGGGTAAGTAATGCAGATGTTAGGAAACATGTACTAGGTAAGGATGGCAAATCGATTGATGAAGTAGTGAAACTTCATCAGTTGAGATGGATGGGACATGTGTTACGTATGCCCGACCCTCGACTGCCCCGATGTGCAATGTTTCATTGTGTAGGAGTAGGTTGGAAGAAAGCTAGGGGTGTCCAGACCAAAACGTGGCACAAATCAATGAAGTCACTGACAAGTGGACTGGGCCATGTTGGTAGGTGTAGACTACCTGGTTGGGATTCGCGAGATGACAGCAACCGATGGTTAGAGACCTTGAATGACATGGCTGAAAATCGTTTGCAATGGCGAAAGTGCATCCACAATTAGTGTTCTATAAAATTCTAATCTTCTGAATTCTTCATGTCCCTATCCTTTTTCTCTTTCCAAATTTATTTCACTGGATTATACTCCTTCAATAATTTCTTCAAACCCTAATCTTTCGGAATACTGCTTATACTCTTACTACTTCTACCACTATGGGATTTGAATCGACAACTGCATCTCTGTGCTAATGTGGTATGGCAACTCGAACTGATGTACGTACGTACGAAGTTCTACGTTGTGACTGACTGACTGATTAATACTGTGATAAAGTTTGGATAATTCTTTTGAATGAATTGTTCTGCTTTTCAGCTGCTTATCATAAATCACTTAACCATTTCTCCATTATTATTTAATAATGTTTGAAGTGTATATGACGAAAAATATTTTTGTCAAATAATAATTTTTTTTAGTCATATACTAAGTATACAGTATTCTGATATTCATGTGGCTCAATTGATTGGATTCTAAATCGTACTTATTTATTATGTTACTTACTTACTTACCTACGCCTGTTACCCCTTGTTGAGGAGCATAGACCACCCACCAGCGCTCTCCATCCAACCCTGTCCTGGTCAATCCTTTTCATGTCTGCTTCCAATTCCCGACGTAGTGTTTTCTTTGGCCTTCCTCTTTTCTACTTCCCTTCACGAATCCAAGTTAGAGCTTACCTTGTGATGCAGTTTGGTGATTTCCGTAATGAATATCCTACCCGCTTCCAACGTCTTTTCTTAATTTCCTCTTCAGTTGGAAGTTGGTTTGTCTTCTCCCACAGTAGGCTATTGCTGATGGTATCAGGTCAATGGATATTGAGTATCTTACGCTGACAATTTACGATGTTGAGTGCAATCTATTCTTTCTTTATCATTTCAATTTACATGTTATTATTATTAAGTCAATAAGCACACACCAATATGACTCAGACTACTGATTACGACTTACTAGAAATGTTACTCATTTTGATCCGACTATACATAGTTCTATTATAATTTAACTCTTTTACAAAAAAAGAAGGAATTTGTTAGATAGGATTGATCAACAAGTATATCATGTGCTGCACATACATATACGTGCTAATTGCCTATTTGACGGTAACGTGCTGTTTACACGATTATGTATATTGTAAATATCAAAATAAAGCATATGAATATATGCAATTATTCCAAAAGATGTTTATGAATGCCCAATCAAAAGTGCAATACCTTTTAATTTTATATGTCATACGTTTTTTTTTCTAAATTCCAATTTAAGTTTTGATACCAATGGGACAAATTGATTTGTTAAACAGTTCTATGCTTGCAAAATTCTCTTTGTAAAAAGCAGAATTGATCAGATCATAAACAGAGTTAGATAATAGATAACAGTAGAATCCAGTAGGCGCTGTTCGTCTTATATGGGATTTGTTAGCAGGATGTTTCTGCATCCCAGTGTTGATGCCCACTCCGGGACTCGAACCCAGATCGTATCATTAATATCAGTACAGTAATGTTGTTTTTCGTATTCGACAAATAGCTCAGTTCTCACTTTCTTGAATATTGATAATCGAGTGAGCATGTTACACTCTTTATAGAGATAGGAAGTGAGGTTATGGAGGTTGTTCATTTTAAAGTAAGTTATCATCATTAACTGACTGTTGAGAAATAACACAGAACATTGACTTACTGTTATATTTCACTCATCGACTCTTCAGTGTTGTGAACCAGTGACCCCACACATACATACACGCATGTTTTCAATACCTTCAGGCTTCATTTGGATCCCTCCACGTTCTAGGTGCAGAATCCACATTTTCAACTTCAGTCACTTTCTTATGTTGCTGGACAATATCAGACCACGGTTTTCTTTAATAAATCAACAATAAAGTACATTGCATCACTGATTTATTCCGTTTCATTGAGTGAATTACAACATTACTGATGACGACTTAATCAGCACTAAGGTGTTAATAATACAACATGGATTTCTCCTATGTAATCCATCAGTGATATTTCAATGATCCAATCAGTTTATTCGTATTGTTTTCAAGTTGAACGACCGATAGGCACCATAAATGTCATCATTTATTTTTGAAGAGAAAAAACATCACAGAATGAAATCAAAAGAAAGGATCTATTCTGTTGTGATTCAGATTTGAATTGTCAGTAATTGACAGGCCTAATGTTAGCATGATTATCAGTCACATCCGTAATGACCATGGTAGAACCTCACATATATATCTCCATCAATTCAAGTTGCCACAGTATATCAACACAGTCGAATGAAGTTCTCAAAATAAATGCCAAATTACTATCAGTGATATCAGAGAAATCACTGCACATAAACAATATGATTCGAGAATGAATAAAATGTGTAAAACTATTTTAAAATTTAAATTCTAGGAGAAACAAATAATGAATGAACCAGTACTGGTGCAACAGATTTTGAGTCAGTTCATTCAACTTCCACAACCATTAATTATGATAATTGTGAGAACATCAACCATGTAGTCTGCACTTATCTACACGGCTCATCCCAGCAGTCAAGGATTGCATGAACTGATCTCATCATTTCCTGGTCTGGTTATCCTTACCATCCCTTGAACTTACTCTTACATCAGAAAACATCATGGATGGAGAGTTTTGTGGTGACCATTAAAATTTTGATAAATTCAAGGATTAAGAGCTGTCGTTTAAGTGACCATTGAGAACCAAGAATCAAGACACCGACTTATACAACCTTGACCCTATGCCAAACCAATGACGCGTTAACCAGTACGAGTAGCCTAGAGTCGACTTCGAGTCTTTTTCGGTTCTTCTTGCTTTTCCCTACCTTGCCCACTAAGTCAAAAACACAATCTCAACTTCCACTGTAAGAACCATGTAATTCAGTCATACGCAGTTTATATGCAAGCAAACCAGACATCATCACACTATAAAATAGAAAATAACAATTATACAAGACCAAAACAAAAGTGGTTGTGAGTGTGGGAGACTGTAACTAATAGATTGCGAATAACGTGAGAATAGTAAGTCGTATAATAATACTCAATAGGTCAAATGAAAGATTATGATTAAAGGAATATGGATATACATATAATATAGTTACTTAACAGTTATACAATAAAGAATATATAATGGTCCATAAACA